CAAAATACGAATAAAATACAATACCTCAAAATAAAATTGAATACCCAAGGAAACTTAATTTGAAACGAAAATAATTCTAGTCAAAAGTATACTGAGAATAACAAGTCTACATATAAAGACAAATTACAGCTAAAATAAATGAAAAAATATTAATTATCAGATCTTTAAGACAATTATGTGAAATTAAGAAAAATCCAGTGCTGTCCTCTTTCGAAAAATATGAAAAGAAGTCCCGAATGAAGGGGGGAAAAAACCCTTTTAATTAAGTACTGCCATCGCTATTCATCAGGAACAAAAAATCTTCACCGAATAGGTCTACTTATTCGGGCTTAAAAATAGACCAAATTAATTGAACATCTTTAAAACATTTTGAATCAAAAGATTATAGGTACATAATTCCAAGGAAACTTATTATTGTCCGAAATAATTCTGAAATTCTTAATAGCTGTAAGAAAATCCGTTTTATTATTACAAATAAATTTAAACTTAAGAATTTGATTAATTAAAAATATTTTTAAAATATTTAGAGTATAAATTGGAATTAAAATATGTTAAACTAATAACATTAAACTCAAAATCTCTCTTTTATCATATAATCTAATTAAAATTTCATCATAATGAAGTTTAATTTCAAGATCCAATAAACTGGCCCTTTTATATGAGTTAGTCTTTATTAAATTAAGTTCTTTAGGATAAATATCTTTAATTAAATCAAAATCAGTACAACTAAAAATAATCAAATTATCATAAAAACTAAACCCTATTAATAAATCCTGTTGTGTTCTTAAAAAATGTCAAAAACTATTAGCGAAATACCTTAAATCTGTTTGTAAAAGAAACATACCATTAAAGAGATAATTTTCCAATATGTTTGTATTTCATAATTAATCCATAGTACATAAATAATCGTTGCATAAATTAATCCTAAAAAATACCCTCATTAATCAAATATGTCTTAAAAATCTCTAAGCAAATATTCGGAACAAAATCTCTGTAACTTTTACCGAAGAGCTGGTAATGATTTTCGTAAAATCAACTGTTAAATATGGTTTTATAATACGAGATAAAGTTTGGTAATTTTATCGTAATGTCTTAGAGCATGGCATAAAAACTATTTATTCGGTTAAATTTACGTTTCCCATTTTTGACTAAATATGTGGTAATAAGAACTTCAAAACCAAACCTTCCAGTAAGTCCTTACCTTATGAACTACCAAATGAATGGTTTAAATACCGTAAACTTTGGTTTTATTAAACAGAACTATGGTGTTTTTTTTTTGCCAGAAATGTCATTACCCAACAATGGGATAATTACACCAGAATTTTTTTCTCCGTGCAAATTAACAGAAAACGTCATCGCTTAGTTATGCATTAACTTGAACATGACCAAATTTCCTTTTTTTTTTTTTTCATTTTTTGTAATTTATGGAATGCATTTGGAATGCATTTTCAAATGATGGAAATATGGAATGCATTTTTAAAAATCTAAGACGAAAAAAAAATCAAAAAACATTCTCTTTCCCCCGATCGAACTCAATGAAAAGAAGGTGGGAAATTCAAAATGTGCCTTTAATCCTCTTTATTTAACAAATAAACCGCTATTGAATTTTCACTGTACTGGGCAAAAAAAAGTAAAATACAAGAAAGGCGAACAATAAGATTTTCAGAAATGTATCGTGCTGTATTTCCGGATCTTTATTGATTTTATTAAACAAAATTATAAAAATACTATTCTAGAAACACCATTTTTTGTAAGCTAGTTAAGCATTAAACGTTTGCTTTCTACCAGATTTTACAAAAATCTCTTGGTTTTCTTGTAATTGACGTTGAGGCATCTTTTCAGTATTACCCAAATTAGTTTTTATAAGCATCAGCCTTCATAATGTAAAGTTTTTAAAACTTTAAGGACAGGCATCTATTTAATCTCTCATTCAAAACAACTAAATGCATAATCTTCTTCTTGTGCATTTTGGTGGAATGTTTCTATAGTGGTACTTAAAATTATAAAGCGCTATTTCTCTTTTCTAGAGCTATTTCTCCTTTTCATACGTTATTTCTCTTTTTCCGACACTAATTTTTTCCTAGGCTATTCCTTTGACGCTTTCATTTCTGGCTTTTTTTTTCAAGATATAATGTTGTCAAATGATAGTTTTTCTCGCAAATTTGTTAAAAACAAGAAATGAAATGAAAATTACAAAATTAATCGAAAATCTAAAACGGCGGAAAAAAGGTCTCTTAGGTCCACATAAGATGGAAAAAGGATTCTACTCCTTCGATGTTGACCTACGGAGAATTATATGCCCGAAATTCCTTCATTTATTAAGTAACTAACTAATAGTTTTGAATAATGTTTATTTTTTAACTAAATATTTGCATTGGATTTAATTCTTATTTTTTATAGGAGCAAAGCTATTTCTAAATTTGCGATTTCAGCGAATCAAATTTCAATTTGAGCATTGTCAATTTAATATAAACTTGTAACTTTAATAAAAGCAATAGAAATTTTACGTAATAATTTTCACTTCATTATTTATTTATTCTCTAATTTAAGATTGATATGTATCTGATACTAAAAATATCAGATTTTGGTAACTGATACTTAGTTGAGCAGTATCAGTTTGTAACTGATTACAAATAAATATGTATTTACCCATCTCTAATGCATACCATTCTTTATTGTAAAGCTTCAAGTTGCTGCAAAGTTTCCTAGCGTATCCCAGCGCATGATTTCATATTACGCAACCGAGAGCAATATCTGAATAGTCGTCTATAATTAGCATATTTTTGGTGATGTCAAATATCTAAATAGAGATAGAAATTACTTGCTTTTTGTTTGATTTGTTTTTTCATAAATAAAATAAAGAAGTTAAATGTTTAAGAAAACAGTTGTTAAATGTTTTAGAAAGAAAAAACAATCTTATAGTTAGAAAACAATTCACTGAAGCAATTGGAGTGGTTATACTTTCCAATTAACAGATTTTAAAAAGGAGAAAAATTTAATTCAGAAAAAAATTTTCTTAAAAACGCAGAGTGCCGCAATGTTGTCAGTTTTACTCCCAGAGAATTTATCTTAAAAATGAAACATAATTTAACTAATTAACAAATTTTTGACCTCATTTTTTAAAAATCTTCTATAATTTCAAAAATCATTTAATAATAGCAACATATCATTGGAAACATTTGAAGTAAAGTGCAATCATTTAAAGGAAACTATGCTAAAACAATTTTTCCCTCTGTTAATGCAATTTACTATTCAATTAAATTCTGGAAATTACTTTGTTACTATGCAGTTTTATTACTTGTAGTTACATTATACTAAAAAAAGGCAATTTTTATTATAGAAATAAAAAGTTAACTTAAGTTCTATGGGAAAACTCTTGCATTCACACACCAGGACGGGTTGGTTTAGTTGTCACACTAAAGCTTCATCACTTAGTACCAGTCATTGCCGTTGGGAAGGCCACTCTTTTTCCACTCTCCCTTGTAAATTTAATTTTTACATTTTGATATGACTATTAAAACTTGTGACTAGCATCTTTTTAAAAGAATCGTTCATTATTTCCAAAAACAAGTTGTGATACAAGTATTGCATCAAAAAATTAGCTTTGTCTATCACAATATATTGATAATAAAAATTCTTATATTTTGAGCTGAAGTCAAAGCACAATACTTTTTTTTTACAGTTCAAATAGTAACAGAAAGAAATTCTACATAGTATGAGGAAGATTCTCCTAAAGATTGACATTTCCAAATCACAATTCTTAAAAACTGAAATAGCTTTAAAAATTCTAAATAACAATGATACATACTCTTTATAAGTCACTTAACAAGAGAAAATAAAGCGAACCCACTTCAACGATGCTGGTCGTAACATCAATCTTCAAAATGCAGATTTAAATAATTTTAATAGAATCATCACATTATTACACATCATAATACGTATTACGTTTCAAAAAATGCTTTTTTGTATAATAAAACTGTTGAAGAAGAAAATGGCAGCAGAAACTATTTCACACCTCAGTTTAAAACTTGAGAGATTTCAATTTAGAACTTTAATAAGAATTAGATCTTCTTCTTTAGAGCACTCAAGCCAATATTGCGAAATTTAATTTGAATGTGACATTGTTATGCTTTTGGAAAATCATCCATAAACAAATTAACACTTCTTTCATACAGATGTTTTTCACTATATGAAGAGACTTTTATGGATTAAAGCTCTTCTCTAAAAAAGTAATGCAGTGGATTGATCGTAAGGGCACGGTTCCCAGAAGAACATCGAAGTCAAACCTCACTGGTTGCGGTCAGTAATCGGGTATGTTATCACTTTAATCAGCATGTGTAGGGACCGAGGGTGCACGGTCCTCGATTCCACCAACTTCACGCAGGCCGAAGCCATCCCCTCTGCAGAAGATCAAAATTGGATCATCCTCAGTTAGGTTTCCCAGATTGTCGCCAATAGTCCATTGTGCAGCTCTAGTCCAACGTAAATAAATTACCTACCTATCTTCTCTAAAAAAATAATGATTTTGATATTATTTTGTAGCTAATATAGTTTGTTTATAGAAAGAACTCCCCAAAGGCTAAGGCAACTATGGAAACAAGAAAGAGTGCATTTCTAGAAGGGGAGGAGCTTCTTTTTCCGATCCGAGCCAAAACCTGTCTTAAATATTGACCCAACACCCCACTGGAAATAGTTAATTCTTGTAACCATAGTCATTGTCACTCGCTTTAAACCAATGACGAGGGGAGTTGTTGCCAAAGACAAACTATATGCATCTTTTTAAATCTAAGTCCATATGAATATTTCCTGTGGGCTTCTGTGATCTAAAAGTACATGGAAGTAAATTTAAAAAATAATACATTTTAAAAATAAAAAGCGTTGATACCAGCCAGTTTTGTAATAGGAAATCGTGTTCTTTCCAAAATGATTTTATTTCACATAACACATTGGAAGTGAGTCTATTCTACAATATTTGTTTCTAGAATGTTTGTTTGTTTTAGTTTTGTGCTCATCCGAACGTCCAACAACTTCTCGCATCCATCTGGTATGAGGGCCTTCCAGGATTTCGAAGGAAAAATATTCTTCTTCAAGTAGCTGAGATTACAAGGATAGGTTTGATGTTTCCAGTCTTCTGCACAGCCTATATAATAGCTCCAAAATCACACTTAGGAAGAACACTGCGAAAACCTTTTATCAAATTCATTTGTCATTCCGCATCATACGTTACCTTTTTATGTAAGTATTTATTCATCTTGCTTTTCTTTAGATACCTTCTGGCATGAACCATGGGAATTGAATAAAACTCTTCTTTAATCATATGTACAACATTCCATTTTTGCTCCTTCAACAGTGACATGAAAAGTTTCTCATACTTTGTCAGCTAAATTCGAATTTCATTTGAAAATTACTTTGTATATTTCTAAGCAGGGGCAAAATCATTTTATGGCATTGAATAATGTTTTTTTAAACCATTACATTAATGTTCTACATTGATTGTGCTATCTTTCTTTAAAAACCATTTTTCTGTGATCCATATAACGTATTAAGCAAGTTTCATTATTTATGTTAGCTACCCTAAATATTGAAAACTTTTTTTTTTCAAATTCACTTAAATCTGTATAACCTGGCATTGTAGCAGCAGTAACCGATCTAAGAACTGTGCTAGACACTCGTTGTCTTATACACGCGTTGCCGATCACAGCGCTGTACATACTCATGCCTGTACCAGTTTTTCTGGCTCTTCAGTGTAGTTCAAATGTAATGGTTTAATGAGTTTTACTAATTTAAAAGTGCTCATAGACTTTTTATTGCATTTAACGCAAAATTTACATAAAATTAAAATTTGTCGACTATATGAATTTAATTATGTTATAAACAAAAAGTCTTAATGACCTATTAGTTTCTTGACATTTTGGCAAAGCATAAAAACTCTCAAAAAAGGGACTACATAATAATTAAGGGAAGGCTTGACTTTAATCATAAACTTTATGAACACAGTTTTGTTTATCAATTTGAGTTCCTTGTGCGACATAGTATTTAAACTGTGCGTTGGTTACTTTAAACAAGGATCGTCATAGGTGATGACACTCTCCTACTTCTAGAACCTCTCAATAACGTAACTAAAGAGAAAAAACATTTTAAATATATCATTTTAAAACAGGAACTATCATTAACTTTTAAAACATGATTGTCATTTTGACATCCAATTCTCTCTTAAGCTAGTTCATGAGAAAAATATTTCACTAGTTTTGAAATTAATAATTATGACTAAAGATTAATATTTTTATTTATTTAGTTCTCTTAATCTTGGCATCACAACGAATCGAGACTGTAGTCGTAGAATGGTTTGGTACAGAAGAAATGAGACATCGTCTACATAGTGATGTCACTACAAAACGTGGAGCACCTCCCAGTGTTGTTGAGTTAATTATTCTTACTTGGGTAATGGGTATGTCTTTTACGCATTTCTTTGCTTTTATCATTTCCATTCTTAAAGTTAATTATATATTTTGCTTCTTAATAAAATTGTGCGTCAATTTAAAATCAAAAATAATTTTCCTAATTAAATTGAGATTAATCTGGAAACATTGTTAAAAATCAATTAAAAGGATTTGAAAGGTAAGTTCCAATTTAATACTTTCAGAGAGTTTTGGATTCTTGAACATACAACTTTGGTGAGTACTTTTATTTTCTCTCCGTCCTTTGAGAATAAAAGTCTATTCAAATGTATGGGGAAGAATGTGCTCGTAAGAATCGACAAGAAGTGAAACATAGAGTTTGTTATATCAGCTACTTGATTATGCAAATATTTTTCATCTCTATACATTGCAATTTTTATTGAAATACAACTGCCGCAAACTACTTTTCGCAATGCTTTTATACATTTGACTATAAATTTCATTCTAGAATTTAAGCCATAAACCCATCAAGCAGAGGTGCTAAATGAGTGAGTCCAAAAATTTAGCATCGTGTACTCGGAAGTCTATAAAAAATTTCAACATTATTAAAAGGTATGTAAAGGATAACAAAAGTCACGGTACAGCGGGCATGCATTTTAAATGAATGCTTCTTACTAATAACTTAACTATTTCGTGTTAACTACCGAAGTCTAATATCTAATATATTATTCTAATATATTATACTTATAAATATCAAATTCTACTAAATTAAATGCACTTTTCGATCTTTTGGTTTAAATAATCTTTTGCTCATTTGAAAAGTGAAATGCTCTGCAATCATTTGATGTAAATAATCTTTTGCGTATTTAAAAAATTAAATACTCTACAATCGTTTAGTTTTGATAATTTTTTGCTTATTTTTAAAATGTAGATTTCACCAAATTGTTTTTTCCGGGTAATTGGAGTAATAAGAATCAAATAGAAAAAGTTAGGCAATAACAAATAGTTTAATTGTATTAAATGAAAAGTCTGCGAACATACTACTTGCGCTTCAATGAGCTTATATAAATAAATAAACAATATATTCTCTTGTTATATAAATCTGGGCACTCACAGAATGTGTTGATCATATATGTTTCTTAATAGTGTAAGTAGATTAAGATTAATTATTGTAAATTTCTTTTTCATGGTTTTCTGCAAATTTTTTTTGGGAGATATTTCATCCAACAACGTATCATCATATAAATAGGTTTAAATCCGATATATGATGATTTTGAAACATAAAACTGATTGTTGACAAACAGTTGTTGTATAATTATCAGTTAATATAAGAATGATTTCAGCGTCTGCAGGAATATTTGCGCAATTTTTGATAGGTTCATTTTGAGTTCTCGCGGAGTCCATTTGTAAATATCTAAACAAAATAAATTCCCGAAATTAATGCAATGCGTTTCAAAAAAATTGACATAGATTTTGGCCGAATCCTAACTTGCATACTTTAATAACCTCCTATGTAGGTTAAGACCACAAAAACTAAATTGTACGTCTTTTGTATGCAGTTTTGGTAAATTTTTCTACTCTGATAAATGTAATGAATCTTTCTTCATTGATAATTTTATCTGTTGCTTAACATACTTTTTTTTCTCATACATGCGAAAACTTAAGATGGTTTAATATCTGAAGTTGCCCCACTTAGACATAACATACACGTACAGGAGTTGGACAAATACATAGTTGGGAAAGTAGCTTGAGAATTTTCATTTATCAGCTTCTTGATCTTCACCACGATGTTACATAAAATAGATTTTGAAATAATGTTTTTCGTTTAAATTAGAATCGTCTTAATAAAATAAAAAACTCTATATTTCTTTCTTTTTGATCTTTTCTTTTCCTTTGCTGTAGAACTTATGCAAATCCTCTCAATGACTTTAACATTTTTTTGTATAATGCCGAGATTTTTCCCATTTTTTCTAACAATAATTTTTGTTCGAAATTCATTTGGAAATTTCTCAATTTTTAAAAATTGAAGTGGAAATTGACTTGAGTTAATCTATATAGTTTTCTCGTTATCACTAACTATTTCAATTCTAAATGTTAAGAATATCCCTAAATTCTTCAATGAATAAATAAACCTTGAAGTAATCCTTTCCAAAGGCTTTCTTTAATGTACTTAACTCCAATTTCACTGGCTTTGAAGTCCATTAAAAACTATTTTATCCACTTTTAGTTTGTGCTGACATCTGTCACTAACTTCAGTTTTGATGAAATACCCTTGAATAACATTGGTAATCATACGTCAAAATTTTAGGGAATTCATGCAGGTATTGTCGTTCTTCTTCAGGAAAATTTTTTTAAGTAACTACATGACATGTGAGCATAACGTACAATATCCCGTTATGAGTTTCTCCATGTTTTCCTAAGCATTATAGAAAAAAAAATCGTAATTTCTGTCATATACAGTCCCTTACTATTTAATAGCCCCATTGAGCAGTAGTAAGTAAACTTTTCACAAAAAAATGGTGCTAAGATTTAAATTATTTTTTAATCAAATAAGCAAGATGAAATTTTTTTACCAGAAATTTTACCAGAATATGGTAAAATTTATCGTGTTTCTAGCTCTATGAAAACACCAAAACACCCGGTAACTTTTACCAAAGCACTTTAGTAATGATTTCGGTAAAATCAGCAATACAATAGAGTTTTACAATATGTGATAAAATTCGATAAATGTGGTAAAATTTGCTAATTTTATCAGGATACTTCAGAGTATGGCATAAAAATCATTTATTTCGTTAATTCATTTTTCAGTTTTGTATATTTTACTAAGCATGCAGTAATAAGAACTATACTGAAAACCAGAATTTCCAGTAAACTATTACCATATGAAGTTACCGACTGAATGGTTTAAATACAGTATATTTTGTTTTACTAGAAATGGCAATACCATACAATACAGTACTCTAACTAGAATTTTTTTCTTCGTGCAAGAAATACGATTAAATATTTCAACAAAATATTTGTAAACTTTAAGGGTTTGAAAAATATAAACTAATTTATAAATTTTAAAGATTTTTATACTTTAGTTCATGCATTTTGAGATTTTTTATAAATTTAAAAAATATGTATCGACTAATTTATGAATATATATGGTTTAAATACCGTGTATTTTTATTTACCGTATTTTTTACCGTATGAGAATTATGTTTTTTTTTACCAGAAAAATCATTACCATACAGTGTGGTAATTTTATCAGAATTTTTTTTCTCCGTGCAGTAATAAGTGATTAAAATTTTCAACGAAATATTTGTTACTTTTGAGGCTTTAAAAAATCAGAACTAGTTCCTAAACTTTTAAGACGTTTATACTAAATTTCATACTAAATTTTTTAGACTTTTATAGTTTATGCATTTTGAATATTTAAATAAATTTAAGGAACATGTGTAACTAGTTTGAGATTATTTAAATAAATATGAATAGTTTTATGAATTTTGAGGATTTCTATATTTTTTTAAAAAAATGCACGAACTAATTTCTAAATAAGCAAAGATTTTTATAAACATAAATTGTAAGGATTTCTATAAATGAATGCCCTATTTGGTGAACCCTTTTAAAACATTGTTGGTGTAAAAGAAAAGGTTAAGAAAAATGAAAAGCAATCTATCCACGTGAAGTGACCTAATTCGTGGGTCGATACATTGATCTAAAACACTGATGGATATTTCACTTATTTATGAACTCACGAAAAGAACCTCAATAAAAACCTTTTTGCATTTTAGAAATTTCATTTTGAGAGATGGTAGACTTCAATTCTAACCGCAATGCTAAAATAATGTGAATTTTACAAAAATTATTTTCTTAATTTTTTTTATTTTAATCTATGTTAAATTATTTGAATTTCGATCATCTGTATTGAATCTCAAATAAAAGTTTCAAAACTAAATAAATTCATTATTTTTATGAATATTATGCGTGTCGTCTTTTAGCAATTCTAAGAATACCAATAAAAACGGTGACACTTTCGTTTATCTTTCATAATTTTGCAGATTTAAATCAAAATACTTAATTTTGAGATATATCGCTCATGGGCTGCAATAGCGGCACAACTCAAAAAATCAAGTTATGAGATAAGTGGGTTTAAAGTTTTCATTGCTAAGCAAAATGCATAGGAAATGCTTTAGTTTGCTTAAAAGAAGAGATTACCTTCAAGTTGAATTATGAGTTGTGCTAGTATTGCTGCTGAAAGAATGTGTATTTCCGTATTTACACCTGTTCTTAGTCCAAAACGCGTGTTATTTGAGTTGTGCCACTATTGCAGCCCATGAGCGATATATAGTATAAGGAATTTTTAAAGCATACTCATTTGCTACTGGAAATCTAAACGCAATGGCAAAATATTGCGATTTGTTTTCTTTTGTTTTTGCAAAGCTTATTCTCATTTTTTTTTAATTTCCTGTCATTTTATTTGAATTTTGATCATCGATATTGAATCTCAAATAAAAGTTTCAAAACTAAACAAAATTCATTAGGTTTTGGGATGTTGTGCATGTTATCTTTTAGCAATGCTAATCAAAAATCAATTAATTTTGAATAATTATGCACTGGTCCCTTTCTTCGTAATTAGACTCTTAATGAGATTAAATCTGAAAAGACACATAGAAAAAGTGCCCTATTGTAATGACTACAAAAGATTCAAATTAGGATCATAAAATTAGTCTCACTGTTTTTCAGAATAGAACCAGGATTTTATTGTTTTCGAATAATCTGAATAAGACAGTCATAAATTTTAAAGACATCAGTAGAATATTTTCTGAAAAGTAAATATTTTAAAACTTTAGAGAAATGAAAGGAATAATTTCAGGGAAATATATATTCAAATAAAAATATTTGTAAAATTTTAAAGGAAACAGTAGGATATTTTTAGGGAAATAAATATTATAAAACAAGCAATTTTAAAAATTTTAAGAAGCCAATAAAATATTTTCTGGGTAATAAGTATTCAAAAATCAGTATTTTTAATTTTTAAAAATATCAGCAGAATATTTTCAAATGA